GGAAAGAAAAAGCACTCTTTCAAAGGACCAGCTGGAGCTTGGTGCCCAGGAACTAATTTACTCCCGGATTTCCCAGATACTACCCGGGCATCTCCTGTCGCTATGAGCCATGCCTAAGAGAAACTACTGCTGCCCTCACAGAGCTTGCATTCCTAAAAAAAATAAACATATACACAAAGAAAAGCTTTTGATAGGCACAATGAAGGAAGTAAATGAACATGAGGGGACCAGTAGGCGGTATGGATCCCACATGGCAGATTGCACGGTTCAAGTCCTGAAACCACCAGCTTGAAAATCATGCTAGGCGCATGTGCGTGTGTGCCCAAAATCCAGAGAAGAGAGTGGAAGAGAAAGGATTGCAGCATGGCCATCCCCCCGGGGAAGGAATTCTCACTTTCCCTCTCTGTCTCTCTCTGGTGACCACGCGCACCCTATAGCAAACAAACAAAAAAGAAAAGAAAAGAAATTGAGTTTCCCCTGAACTCAGAGCACACCATATTTTATTACATACCCAACTACATTTTCATTTAAAAGCCACCATTGATCTAACCCAGAGTTTGCAAACTTCTTTTATAAAAAGGCAGACAGTAAATATTGTAGGTTTTTTTTAAATAATTATTTTACCTATTTATCTTTTAATTTGATCAGAGAGGGACAGAGAGTGAAAGAGAGAGAGAGAGAGAAAGAGAAAGCAAACTGCCGGGTGTAGGATTCAAACCGTGGTCGGCCAGGTGGGAGTCCAGTGCCCTTAACCACCATGCCACCTGCCCAGCACCAATATTGTAGGTTTAGTGGGTCACACAACTCAACTCCACCTCTGTGGCACGAAAGCAACCAGACAACACGTGAACAAGAAAGCATGACTGTTTTCCAATAAAACTTTATTTACAAAAACAGGCACAGGACCGAGATAGGCCCATGGGCTACAGTTAGCCAACCCCTGACCTAACCCGAATACACTAAGCAGCTCTGTGCACGCACCATACTTTGCATTGAAGAATAAAAACAAGGCAGCCTCAATACCCACCCTCAAAGGACTAACACAAAGCCCCAAAGGCTCTGCGCAGGCCTCCTACCTTGCTCACTGGGAATGTAGGTCTCATCGTAATCTTCTTCCAGAACCAGCTGGTCTCCGATGCAGATGGGTCTTCCGGCCATGATCGGTCTGGGCTTGAACACCTAGATCCCAGAGACCCCCTGCCGAAGAGAAAAATGTGACCCAATGTAGGAGAAAAGCCGGAGCTGGGTCATGGAGCAGACCAGTCCCCATCAACATGGCTGGGGACTGTCCAGGCACTGTGGGTAGAGAGGGTGGGACCAGCAGCTCAGAACTCGGGCCTCGCAGCTCTGCTTCTGGAAAGTGCCTGAGACGCGCCTCCCAGGGATGACTGAACACGTGGTAGAACATGGGAAGCTCTGCATGCCTGGTGCTCAGGAGCCTGACTTCATACCCCATGCCCCGCATCGAAACGAAGAATGAACCAAAGGCACTGAGCTAGGAAACCCTCATGACAGCTCAATAACCAGCAGCAGAGTCCCGCACAGGCCAGCACGCCCCAGTGCACACCTGCGCCGTCTCCGTGCACGTCCCCCTTGCATGTCCCCAACTGTTTACAGCCAACAGCGCCCCTGGGGAGCTTACAACCCGGGGAGGGAGCACACACCTCGACAGCAGCAGAAGGCAGAGGGGAAGACGCCTGCTCAGTGAGCTCCAGCACAGAGCGGCCCGCTCCCCCCGAGCAGGGAGGAAGGCTGACAAGACGCCGACGGTGGAGGAGACATCACAGACAGGGCAGCGCATCTAGATGAGGGGTTCTGGGGTCAGGATGACGGCACCCACAGCAGGGGCTGGCACTGAGAGCCTGGCAGACCACGCTGAAGAGCCTCCACCCTGCAAAGGGGAGTCATTGGGGCTTTGGTGAAAGAAAGTGGCACAGGGTGACCTTTTTTTTTAGGATGAGAACTCTGGCAGATCTGGCATGGCCGGCCTGGAGAAATGAGAGGCTGGTGTCGGGAAAATCCAGCGATGAGGGCTTAATCTAGGTGGAATGGAAAGAAGAGACAGACAGATAGACACCATGATGTTAAGCTGAAAAGGACAATGACAAGGTGGGGAAAGAGAGGAAAGGAATGCGATGGACTAGACTGCGTCCCTCCAAACTTCATGTGCTGACGGCCTAACCACAGTGTAACTGTATCTGGAGAAAGGGCCTTTAGAAGGTGATTAATAAATGAGTCCAGGGACCAGCAGATGGCGTAATGGTTACGTCGCTGGACTCCCATGTAGTCAACCACAGTTCAAGCCCCAGACCCAGCAGCTTAGACTCAAACCCAGTGCATGTGCATGCACACCTAAGATCCAGAGAAGAGAATGGAGGAGAAAGGATTGCGGCATGGTCATCCCCCCTAGGGGGTAATTTCTCACTTTCTGTCTCTCTTTCTGGTGAGCACATGTGCCCTATAGCAAAAAAAAATTTCTCTCTTAAAAAAGAAAGAAAGGAAGAAAGAAAGAAAGAAAAAGAAAGAAAGAAAGAAAGAAAGAAAGAAAGAAAGAAAGAAAGAAGAAAGAAAGAAAAGAAAAAATGAGGGCCAGCCCATGGCCTAGCGGTTAAGGGACTCAGGTACCACATGGCTGACTGAGTGGTTCAAATCCTGGCCCCAGTGGCTTGAAAAATACACCAGGTGTACATGTGTGCATGCCCAAAATCCCAGCAGGATAGAGAAATGGAGGAGGGACTGCAATGTGACCATGCCCCATTAGGGGGTGCTTTCCCTCTCTGTCTGTCTCTCCGTCTTCTCTCTGGCAAGTACGCATGTCCAACGCTATGGGGTCATCAGGAAAGTCACAACGCATTTGTCTGTTCCCCATGTAAAAATGGCATCATGACTTTCCCGATGACCCCATAGACAAGGCCCCAAGGGGAGGGCGCTGCCCTGATAGGACTAGAGTCCTTAGTAAGAAGAGGAAGAGAGACAAGAGGCCTCGTCTCTGCCACGTGAGGATGCAGCGAGAAGTCAGCTAGGAGCCCGTACTGCATCTGACCAGGACCTCTAGCCTCCATGACGAGAGTCTGCTGCTGTGTTTAAGCCAGCCGCCTGCTGCTTCTATTACTGCAGCCCTTATGGGCTGCCACGGAGTCCACGGAGGTCCCCAGCTCCAGGCCGGTGGTGCCGAGTTCTTTAACTCATGAGCAGGTGCAGTTCTGGAGCTGCTCCCCACTCCCCACCCCTACTCCCAACACAACCGCAAGACCTCGGGTCCCACCAGCTTTCCCACGGCAGCTCCCATGTTGAAACCTGATGACGCAGAGACCTCACATAATGGTTGCTGTGGCCAGGCCTGCTCAGAGTGTCCCCAACAGGAGTGGGGTCAGCCATACCAGCTGTGACCACGGAGACTAGAGCAGCAGGTCCTGACCACTCCCAATTCCCCCTTACTCAGAGTTGTCACAGTTCCCTCTGGAGCAGCAGCAGGCAATGGCTCTCTCCAAGCACCAAGGCCCTGCCATCAAAAAGGAGGTCACAATCTGGCCTGGCACGAGTGCCCACGGAAAGCTGCCATGATGGCCCTCTCTGTGCCGTGACAGCTAAGAGATGGCCAAAAGAGGGCTCCTGCTCAGCCAGGAGATAATGGGTTGTCGGAAAGTCATGATACAGTTTGGCACAGGGGCCAGCAGATGGCTAGCAGTTACATTGCTGGCCTCCCACATGGCCGACCTCAGCTTGAGTCACAGACCCAGTGGCTTGAAAATCACGCCAGGTGCATGTAAATGCGTGCCCAAGATTCCAGAGGGAGAATGGAAGAGAGGGGATTGTGGAGTGGCCTTCCTGGGGCAGGAGGAGGATTTCTCCCTCTCACTCTCCCTCTCACTGTCTCTGACTTTATCTCATTCATTCTCTCACTCTCTCTCTCTCTCTCTCTGTCTCTCTCTCTCTCTCTCTCTCTCTCTCTCTCTCTCTCTCTCTCTCTCTCTCTCTCTCTCTCTCTCTCTCTCTCTTTCTTCCCAGAGCGTGCATGCACCCTAAGGCCAAAAAAAAAAAAAAAGAAGTCATAAATTTTCCAGCAACCCAATAGATGGGACATAGCACCTAGCTAGGGACAAAGTCCAAGACAGACCCACAGTAAGCTTTTCCCAAGATGGAGTCACAATGGCTACATTTTAAGAGTGACTACATGAGGGCTCTGAACAGCTATATCTAAGGGCAACTGTTTCTATTTGCTAACTACATTCTAACAAAAAGGGCAGATGATAGGACCTGCTGGCCCCACATAGATGGGGTAATAAATCACACAGATACCATGTAACTATTCTCTAAAGCCCACTTCCTTATCAGAGAGTCAGCCCATTGCTCAGCCTAGACAAAAACCCCTGCCTCAGTTCCTCTTCCGCAGTACTTTCAGGACACTTCCCTGTTTAGGACTTCTGTTCTCCCTTCCCTCTCTTAATAAATTCTGCTTTGCTATCCACTCTCTGTGCTCACGTCTCTAATTCTTTGTGAGTATGGGACAAGAACCTGGTCATCTCATGGTCCTGAATTCAGCACTGGGGTTGGGCCTAGCTATCCCAAAATATCCTGTGTCACCGCCTTAGGACTCACAGCCATCAGCTCTCATACTCTTAGGAGGCCAGACCCTGGCCTCTCCACACCACCTCCAACCAGGAAGAAAGGACCAAAGGAAAAATTACTCTTCTCTGCAATGGACAAGCTGAAATGAGAATCCACTCCTGACCCCAGAAGAACCCAGAACAACCTGCAGACATAATGCTCGGACCTCTACACCCCAAGACAGGAGGGCCTGATGGCTGCTGATCCGAAAAGGCGGAGCAGATAAAGACCAGAAACCGGGGCAGCAGGTGCAGCCCACAGCCTGGTGGCTTAACATGTCACCTGAATCATGAATCCTCTTAGCTAGGGAGAAAAGAGAAGGAGAAGAGGAAAGGATCTGTGAGCAGGGAGGACTCCATAGTGCCTGATCAGCTGTCTGGACATGCATTCACCAAGCGCATTCTCCATATGTGACACATGTCGGCTATCTTGGAGAATCTGAAAAAATGACACCTACCCCTCAGTACATGTCATCCTCAGAAAGCATGGGATAGGGACAATCTCTGTCCTTATGACACACACACAAAAAAAAAAATCTAAAAGGTTTTATACATAATGATCTTGGACCAGCTCCCTAGCCTAGTGGTTAAAGAAGCTAAAGCCCAGGGAGCAGCAGTTAGCGTAATGGCTATGTCACTGGACTCCCATATAGTTGACCACAGTTCGCATCCCGGACCTGGTGGCTTAAAACTCACGCCGGGCGCATGTGCATGCGTGCCCAAGATCCCGAAAGAAGAATGGAGGAGACGGGACTGCGGCGTGGCCATCCCCCAGGGGGGGGTGATTTCTCGCTTTCTCGCTGTCTCTCTCTGTCTGTCTGGCAAGCACACGCGCCCTATAGCAAAAACCTCTCAAAAAAAAAAAAAAAAAACAAAAAACTGAAGCCCACATGGCCAATGAATTCAAATTTGAAACCAGGTCCTTGAAGCTTGAAAAACAAGCTGGAAGAATGTGTGTGCATGCCCCAAATCCTAATGGGATGGAGAAATGGAAGCAAAGGATTGTGGTGAGGCCATGTCCCAGTGTCTGTCTGTCTGTCCAGCTCATTAACCACCATACCACCTGCTGGTCCCAATAAATAAATCTTAGAAAAATATATATGTTTTCTCTTCTCACACTTTTCTTTCCTGCAACGTTTTGCCTTCTTGGCCCTGTTCTTGCCCACATCTTTTCTGAAGCCAAGTAAGCCAAATATGGCCCACTTGTATTTTAATTTTTTTCCTGGCAGATTTGCTTGACATTTTACTGATCCATGAATTTATATTTTCTAAGTTCTTCTTGAACTTTAAATAGTTAAACATAAATCTTCTTTCTTTTAGTTGCTAGAGGGCACGTGCGTTCACCAAAGAGAGATGGGCATGGGGAGAGAGACAGAAAAAGAGACAGAGAGAGAAAGTGGTCAGCCACGTGGAACCCAGAGCCTTACTAATCACCACACCGCCAGCCAGCCCCAGAAATCATATTTACTTAATAGCTCCTAAAGAGCGTTTACTCATTTGAAAAATATTTATGGAACACTACCAAGTTTATTTGTAGGCACTAGAGATGCAATGGTGATGTTAAAGATTCAGTTCCTGGCCAGCCTGGTGGCATGGTGGTTAAGGCACAAGATCCCACGTGGCCAATGGTGCAATTCAAGTCGCAGACCCAGCAGCTTAAAAAACACTCCAGGCACGTGTGCATGTGTACCCAAAATTCCGAGAGGAGAATGAAGGAAAAGGGCCTGCAGCATGGCCATCTCCCTTGCTTTCTCGCTCCCCCTCCCCTCTGGAGAGTGCACACCTCTACAACAAATTAAAAGGAGAAAAAAAAAAAAATGCAGTTACTCCCTGGAGCTATGTCTAATGAGGGAGGGAGGTATACCAGTCAGTCACAGATCAGCGTAAAATTACGTATGAGGTAAGAGCGCCGAAGGAATGAGTCTAATTGAGCTGACGCTTGCGCTGAGAAGTGAAGGCTGTCCAGGTACTCCCTAGACAGAAGGAAACGGCGTTCTAACAGGAAGCAGCGCGTGCAAAGGCCGTCCTCGCAGCACAGGTGGAGATGGTGCTGAGGCTGTTTGAAGATAAATATTACTTTTTTTTTCATTGCCAAAGGGCACATGCACTTGCCAGAGACAGAGAGTGAGGGAGAAAGCACTCCTCCATGGGACGTGGCCATAACGCAATCCCTTCTCCATCCTGTGGGGGTCTGGAGCACTCATGCACATGCACCAGGCTGATTTTTTAAGCTAGTGGCATCCCAGGGCCTGCAGGAGCATAGGCTGTTACCCTGTGCTGGTGAGAGGGCCAGAGGCAGCCCGTGCAGAGGGTCTGGCCTTTATCATAAGAGAACTGGAAGCCAGGGCAGGATCTTTTTAGATACATCTTTCTTTAAAAAAAAAAAAAATGATTTTATTGAATTTTACTTATTTATTTTAATTTGACCAGAGAGAGGCAGAGTAAGAGAGTGAGAGAGAGAGAAAGTGAGAAAGCAAGCCACCAGGTCCAGGGCTCAAACTGCGGTCAGTCATGGGGAACGCCTTTACCCACCACGCCACCTTCCGGCCCCTCCAGATGTGTATTTTTAAAAGGCCACTCTGGCAGCCATTAGGAGTACAAACGGGAAGGGAAGGAAGGGAATCCGAGTTACTGCGGGCAGATGAGGTGGAAGCCATGAGACCGTCTAGGTGAGAGACGATGGCAACAGGGCCAGGAGGCTGGGAAGTCTCGGATCGGCCATGGAAGTAACTGGCATGCGTCCTGGTTTTTAGACCATGGCCTCCAGGCCTCAGACCATGAGTGATATCACTAGTCCGTCATGGCACCCTGGCCCCGGGCTCAGAACTCTCACCACTGCACTCCACGTAGCAGGTACCAACAGATCTGATCAACCCTGATGACACCCACTTCTACCTGGCCCGAGACCCTCTATGACCCTCTGGTGTTAGGGGAGGGGTGGGCTAGCAGTATTCATCCATCTCCTGCCAATCCCAGAATCTAGTGGGAAAGGCACTGGACCCCACACAGCCGACTACGTGGTTTGAGTCCTGGACCCAGCAGTTTGAAAATCATGCCAGGCTCATGTGCATGCATGTCCAAAACCCAAGAGACTGGGGGAGAAAGGATTGTGGCTATCCCCCTGGGGGGCAATCTCTCTCTCTCTCTCTCTCTCTCTCTCTGGCAAGCACATGTACTCTATAGCAAAACTAAAAGACAAACACAAAAAAATAAATAAATGGCTTATTCTTTTTTTTTTTTTTTTTTTTTTTTTTTAGAGAGGTATTTGCTATAGGGCACGCGCTCACCAGGCAGGAGAGAGACAGAAAGTAAGAAATCACCGCCCAGGGAGGATGGCCACGCCACAATCCTTACTCCTCCATTCTCCTCTCAGGATCTTGGGCATGCACGCACACGTGTCCGGTGTGAGTTTTAAGCCACCGAGTCCAGGACGCAAACCACGGTCAACTACATGGGAGTCCAGCGACACAGCCATTACGCTAACTGCTGCTCCCTATAAATGGCTTATTCTATGCTGCTTCAGAGAACAAGTCCAGCACCAGGGAATGTAAGCTGAGGCCACCAAGACACTAAATAACCACTTCTTTTTTTTTTTTTTTTTGGAGAGGGTTTTGCTATAAGACGCGTGCCCTCGCCAGAGCGACAGAAAGTGAGAAATCACTCCTCAGGGGGGGATAGCCACACCACAATCCATTTTCCTCTTTTCTCCTCTTGGGATCTTAGGCATGCACGCACACGCACCCGGCATGAGTTTTAGTCACCAGGTCTGGGATTCGAACCACAGTCAACTACATGGGAGTCCAGTGACATAGCCATTACGCCAACTGCTGGTCCCATAACCACTTCTTGAACACTCACCAGGAGTAAGGCCCTGTGGTTGAATGTTAGGGCTACAAACCTGATTACACAAGGCCTTGAACTTGGGCTCAGCCCAGCTGGGAAGACAAACATGTAAACACAGAAGTACATAATGTGCTCAGTGCATTACAGGAAGTAACAGAAAATACAACAGGACACAAAGGTACAGGCAACTAACTTATTTTGGAAGGTCAGGAAAGACATAATAGAGAACCACTGAGGTGCTCTTCTTATTTATTTCCTCCATTGATCTTGCTCCAGCAAGAGAGACAGAGGGAGCGAGAGTGCGAGAGCGAGAGAGAGAACGCCCAAAGGGTCTTGGTGCCACGATCCACCTCCAGCTCTAGCCAGCTGGGTCACGGGCACGTGCACGCCTGGTGTACACGGTGAGGTCTCCAGATAAAACCCAGAACCTTCCCACATGGGTCCGCCTTGCAGAGCATCATGCATTACCACTGTACCCTAAGATGGGTCTCCGCAGGATAAGCAGGAGCTTACCAGGAAAGGAGACTAAGGGAATTCAAGGCAGAAGGAACAGCAAGCACAAAAGCAGAGGCAGGAAAGAGCAGGGCAGGCAGGGAATGGATAAGGACAACCAAAGCTGAATACTGCTGTTCCAGGAACTGAATGACTACTACGTGCCTTATATACACCATCTTGCCCATCCTCTCAACTAGGTAGAGATTATCATCCCCATTTATCAAACAAGGAAACTGAGACACAGCAAGTTTGTTTTTTTTTTTTTTTGGAGAGGTTTTCACTAAAGGGTGCGTGCACTCGCCAGAGAGAGACATTGAGACAGAAAGCGAGAAATCACCCCCCAGGGAGGATACTCACGCTGCAATCTCTTCTCCTCCATTCTCCTCTCAGGATCTTGGGAACGCATGCTCATGCGCCCAGCGTAAGTTTTAAGCCACCGGGTCTGGGATGCGAACTGCTGTGGACTACGTGGGAGTCCAGCGACATAGCCATTACGCTAACTGCTGG